GGACACTCAATCCTAACACCAACCTGAAAGCCTGTTTTAAAGACAGCTTTCTGCTCTTTCTCTGTCGTACTGGTGGTGGTGAAGGTAACAGTTTTGTCTTTTCCGCTCAGTGTTACTGCAGCTTGGATCGCCTTATCCTTTGACATCACCCTCCAAAGGTCAAAGGGCAGCTTGCTAGAGATCCCTTTCAGACGTAGAGTGGACACAAACACGTACGATGGAGGAAGGCCTTCTGGGAAAATCTCCCTAGTTTAAAGATTAAGGATAAAATTTGTAAATAGCTGTTGACCAAAGCCCAAAAGCTGTTTAGGATGAATGTAATGATAGCGATAGCATGTTACCTGGTGTTCTCAGTAATGTCTGTGGAGGCAGCAAGGGCATAGGCAGTCTCAGAAGCTAAAGAGCCAGGGATCTTCTTTGCCTTGGTCTGAATGTTCATGCCCACCATCAGCTCGAAGCCTTTCTCATCACGGGATGCCACTGGGATTCGTGTGGGACAAACAGACTCTGGAAGCACCAGGGTGATTCATTCAGTCAAGTGGTTATTCAGCTATATGCTATTTGGCAACACTCTAATTTGTGTTTTTGTAGATACACTTGAGTTGTCTGACCTTCACAAAGCTTCTGCTCCATGGAGTCTCGAATACGATCGATGGTGGTGTAATCTTCAGCATACAGGACATAGGTAGATGAAGGTTTATTGGCAATGGAGATCAGCTCTGAAGTGGTGATCTCAGTGCCAACTCCCACAGCAAATACAGTAATACTCTGTGCTCGAGCCTCCATGCTGGCGTCAACCTACAGATATAAAAGGTTATCTTTTGGTTTCAATTGTTTTCCCAGGTCTGGGGAAGAAGTGCTAGGGTCTCGGTTACAGTTAGGGTTAGGGGGTAAGTACTGGTTAGCTATTACAACCTCACAGTGTGGCTTTTCTATGCCGAAGTTTCTTTCCATGTTGATACTTCTTTTATGTTGCCTCTGTTATTAAAGGCCACCCAAAAACACTGACGTGGTCTTACCCATGAGGCAAAGGATCACTCACCACATCATCCTGTGATTTGCCATCTGTAACCACCACAGCGATGCGGTTCTTGACCAGATTGCTCCGCTGGGAGGAGGCAAACACGTGGTCCACTGCAAACTTGATAGCCCTGCCAGTCTACAAAAAGAAGTGAATTAAAAAAAAAAATTTTACACCAGACACTCTTCCTTACACAACCCCAAAGGTTATTTGTGTCCCTGACTGATCTGCCAAGTGAACATGTTAAAGACTACTCAATGAAACCACAAGCCATTCCCAGTCAAGCAGAGACATATTAACAGAGTTCTTTGGAAATGCAAAAGTTGAGTATTACAGCTGCAGAATTTACAGGAATGCATGTGCATGTCCATTGGTGACCATTGGTGTGCTTGTGGCCTTGTTGTGTGGTCACCCTGCAGCAGATGCAGTGTTGGCAAGTGGCACCAGTGAACATGCCTAAATGTGCAGTCTGCTTTTATGTGACGCTTTAAAGTTTGCATCATAGGAGTAAAGTCTGTTTTGTTCCTTCACTATGCTTTAACATTAATAGTTCCCAGTCAGTTTGTAGGAGCTGGCCACCTGTGTAATAATTTATCCTTTACCCATTTTCCCACCGATTGTTTCATAATTTTTGATATTCTTTGTTTAACTTCGCTTCCAGTGGAGTCAAAAGTTTCATTCCTTCCCTCTCCGCTCTGCTATTACAACCAAGCAGCGTTGCCTATAACTTGTGCAGTTTTTTTCTGTGCAATTGTTTATATTCCTATATCTATTTACATATAAATTATCTAAATTACTAATCCTTTTATTTATGTCAAGTCTTAATATTCTACTTACATGTCCTGTGCACAATGTTGGGGAAGCTTCTTTAAAGACATAGTTTTGCAAAATACTTCATAACAGACAAGCTGGACAGCAGAGATACTCTGTTCCCCTAAAACGACTAAATTAGTTTGCAAAAACAAAAACTGATCACGTTTACAGCGTAGCTATGATAACGTGATACATGTAATAACAAAATAACAATGGCAGCAATGCTTCACTGCTTATGGAAACAGTGCAGCACTGAGAAACGCCTGCCCTTTCGCTCATGCAATAAGCAAAGGTCGAGTGTGTGGAGACGGCTGCCTCACAACTGCACTGACTGAGCGCGTCGTAAGGATCGTACAGAAAAAGTAGGACGGCTTTGAGTAGGGAGGGGGTTCAGTTACAGTAGAAATGCAATGGTCCAATAAGTTAATTCAGTAACACACAGAGTTAACACACATGTGTCACACAGTATTATCACTGTGGACATACAAATGCACAAGAATCACAGCTCATCACAATACAGTTTTAGCACATCACATCTCCCCTGTGCTAACCGACACACAAGTAGACAGTTAACTGATATCTAGTTATATGTTTGTATTTTATGATGATTATTTAATGGGATATTAATAATGTGATGATTTGGTCACATAGCCCGACAGAACAGCTGGTGTCCACCTGGAAACCATCAATCAACAGGGAAAAATGAATATTCCCCAGTGGGTTGTGAGTGGGTACTGGGAGCTGCTAGCAGTCACTGTGAAATGAATTGCTGTACCTCAGTCATGGAGGCCTAAAGACTGGTCATTAATAGGGCTGGGTATCGTCACTGATTTCTAGAATCCATTCGATTCTGATTCACAAGGCCCCGATTTGATTCGATTCGATTCAATTCACTTCGATTTGAATCTGGGAAATTTTGACAGTCAGAAATATTATAATTCAGATCAGTAAATTTACATATTTTTGTATCTATAAAAAGGAAGCTGACACTTTCAAGACCTTATCAAAGGTGTGAGCATCACAGCAGAGGCCTTTGTGTCAAAGCAGCTGAAGATAAAACAGAAAAACATGAAGGTGATTTTCCTGGCATCGGATTTTATAAAAATATTCTGCAGTAGATCAAACACAAAAGAAAACCATTAATGAACATATGAACGTTACCTCTGAAGTTACAGCAGTTTTATTACAGACACAGCGTTTTGCATTTTGTATAATTTTAAAAAGTTTAAATTTGTTCAGAATTGAACGGCAGAAATTAGGTTTTCTTTTCAGAAGTATGTAAACGGGAAAAAAACAG